AAAAATCAATTTATTGGGGCTCATAAAATTCATCACAATACATAGATCAATTGTGTAAAGCACATCTATACATTTGTTGCCCTTATCATTCCCAAAATTCGCTTGCCTCTTGGGTTCCCGGAATCAGCTCATTTTCCTTTTTCCCCCCAGCATTTTGTTTTCTAATCACCATTTTCTCACTAAAAGAAATCAGAGATCCTGGGGAAATGGCTGACTAATTTTCCTATAGGAACAAATTAATTGATGAAGTAATATTTCAGCTCCTTGTGAGACATATTTACAACCACAACAGTGACAAAAGTAAGGGAAGTTGCTGTGCCTGCTTTTGTGTAACTATGCCTTCACAGGATTTCCTTCCTTGGCTTGGTGATTTAGGGCGCAGTTTCATGGGTTATCCCAGTTAACTGCCTTAATAATACGTTTAGTGCTTTTGATCTACCTCATCATTTGTTGAGTAGTTCCTGAGGTCTTAAGTGCTCACCAGGACATTTAAGTCACAACAGTTGCTCTCTCTTTACTTGGAACAACAGAGGAGTGAGTCAGGAATCTAAAGAGAACATTAAATGTGTGGCTAACTGCCTCTTTTGAGACCGGAAGAACTAGATGGTGCCTACCTACCATTACTGAACATTTTAATCAAATATTTTCTGGAAGAATTCTGATCAAAAAAGGGAAAGAAAATGTTGAACAGAGTTTCAAATTGTCATGGACTCTAGACTATGAACCCAAGGAGGGAGGAGGAATCCCTGAAACTATTATCCTGAAATAATCTTTATTTTTATTTTTTATACATCATTTTATTGGGCGCTCTTACAACTCTTATCACAATCCATACATACAGCCCTTGTGTGTCAAGCACATTTGTACATTTGTTGCCATTATCATTCTCAAAACATTATCTTTCTACGTGAGCCCTTGGTATCAGCTCATTTTCTGAAATAATCTTTAAATCTTAAACTAAAATTAGCTCACGAAGTCTTCTTAAAGATTAACAATATTGTTTTAGCTTAATTAGCAAAAAATATCTCCTTAAGAATAATCTTTGTGGGAGCAAATTGACAACAGCAACTCAAGAGATTAGCGAGAAGCAGTGAGTTGAGTTTCTGATAAGGTGGGAGAAACAACCAGCGAAGGAGGATGAGAATAGTTGCCCAACTTGAAGACTGTAATCGCTGAATTGTTTATGTAGAAACGGCTAAATTGGTGTTTTGGTGTGTGAATGGGGGAGAATAGTAATGGGGGTTAAAAAAGGTCACGGAAAAATCCCATTATCTTTTAATCTCATTTGTCAATGGACATTTTGGCTCTCCCTCATATATTCTTCTCTTTTTAAAAATCATTTTATTAGGGGCTCATATTACTCTTATCACAATCCACATATACATTAATTGTGTAAAGCACATTTGTACATTCATTGCCCTCATCATTCTCAAAACATTTCCTCTCCACTTAAGCCGCTGGCATCAGATCCTCATTTTCCCTCATAAATTCTTGACAACAAAACAAATTTGTTAAAAAATTTCAAACTAATATATATATATATATATTAAAAGTCAGTTCTTGAGATCTCTCT